AAAAAATAAATTAATATAAAAAATTTATTAATTTTATTGTTATGCGTTATTAAAAGGTCTTGAAAATTGCATTTTTTTTTTTATTCAGATTCTTTATTTTCTAATTCACGCATTTAAAAACTGAATGCTCCCTGAGTATCCGTAAAAATTGCTATGATAAGCTATCTGAACCATATGGTGTTGTGCTGTATTGTGCACTACATAATATTCACAGAAATTAGAAAAAAAATATAAAAAAATTAATCAAATTTTAATAATTCCAATATTATTTTAGAATTTATAAAATCATTGCCTAATAAAACGTATGATTTATTTCCGCACAAATTAGTTCACACTCGAGGAAACGTTCATGGAGCTTTGTCCTCCTTGAAATTTTGAAATAAAAACAGTTTTTCATGAAGGAAAAAGCTTAAATCGTCATAATTATATTCTGGTGTTTAATCATAGTATAAATTCAAATTTCACCTGAGCTGCTTTTTGATTTATGACGTTTCTCACCACAATGTGTTGACTTGTACATTTTTGAGGAGGAGCTGTGAAAATATGAATAAGGTTGGAAAGAGCGAGGACCGTACGTTCCCCTTTTCGCCTACTCAGAAAATTTGAAATTCCGCCCGAGATGAAGTCCTCCGGCGGCTCGGCAACATACAGAGGGGCTGATCGATGAAATTGGTGTACAATAAAAGAGAGGCAGTGTTTTGTCAACGCGGCACGCAATATTGCCTCGACAGCAAGATGAAAAAAAAACCAAGCCGATCGTTCACTTTGCCTCACACGTAAAAAGGGAAATGCAGCTCCGGCATTGGCGATGGCATATCAGGGCGGCTTTATTTGATGCATGCATTCCTTGTGTGTATTTTCCAGCATGCCGTTTGGTATAAGCAGATAAACTTCTTTGCTTGGGGAAAGGTGACGCGGCTTATGCGCTGAAATATACGTCTTCATATTTGTAAAACGAGATTTGGGTCACGCGCGCGCTGCGAGGTGCATATTTCCATCCGCGGCTACATTAGCCAAACGTGTGTGACAAAATATTAGATTCTGAACGAGATTCTTCCTGGTAGCACTTGTGCTTTACGGGCAGATAAAGCACAGCAGGCATAAATTTTCATGCAACTCACACATTTCATTTCTAGACGTGTTTAATCGACTTTCCGAGTTCTTCCGTCGACTCAAAGGAAGAAATATACAACAGCCCGAAAGCACAAACCGTACAAAATTTTAGCCAAAAGGTTTATAACTATGGAATCAAATTGATATAATACACTGATCATTTTTTTTACCTTCAAATGTTTTAATAATTAAATTCATGAAAATTTATAATGATTTTCATCAGTCTATGGTTGAAGTATTGGGTGTATGAATTGTTCAAGAAAGAAAAAAAAGACTTTTATTAAAAATTTAAAGGACCTTGGGCGCCCCTGTAAAGCAGGCAACATAATGGCATATGAGTCGCGTGGGTTGCGAATATTGTTAGCCATCAGACAGTTTTTTTCATTCGACGTTCTCTTGGAAGTAATGTAATGTCTGTGACATATTTTTTTTTTAAATAAATTATTGAAATTCAGTTCATAAACTATATCACTATAAAGAATAATTAATTAGTTTTTCGATCAGTTCAGAAAAGTTTAACAACAAAGAAGACGCTAAAATTTTTTTTTCTTATTTCTATTAAATAATAAAATAAAATTATGCCACTTGAAAAATTAAAACCAAACAATAATGAAAATAAAATTTTGCCATATTAGCCATTAAAACAATGCAAAATATTAACAATTTTTTAGATTCTAAATAGGTTCTTGAAGTTGTTGTTGTGGAACCTTTTGGTGATCATTTTATTTCATAAAAATATTTTTGAGGAGTTTGTATCTTATAATAAGAAAATTCAATTGACATTAAACAATTTTCCGCAATTTTCTTCCTTTTTATTTTCTCATATAATTTTCGTAATTTTGTTTCAATTTTGAAAACAACTGCTTTACTTTCTTTTTGTAATGAGTAGTTTTTTGTTAATTGTATTTTTCGCAATTTGGTTCAAACAAAAATCACAAGGAAATACAATTATCACTAAATTCTTGCAGGAACGCAGCTTGCCTTGTTCTTTATAAACGGATTGGTAGAGATATACATGTGTGTTCCTCCAACCTCTGCAACAACACCGACTTCAATTACCCTTGGACATTTTGCAACAAACAGTGTGTACGTACAGACGTAGGTAATGCACACTCCAATGGTAGGAAGGACTGTGGGGAAATCAATAAAAGAGAAAGCTAGAAGGCGAGGAACAAGGGCTCCGAGATTCGCTGCCCGACCACCCGTCGTTTCATTAAAGTGGCTGCAAAAGTCAATAAAGAGTGACTTAGACACTGGGATTAAAGGTGAGCGGCAAAAGCCGCAGACCAGAGACACAATATTGCTCTTTGGACCGTGTCTCGCTCAACTCACTCGTCTCGCAGCCGCCGCACACAATTTGCATGCAGAATTATTAAAGTGCAGCCTCGTTGACAACAGCCTGGTGCACCACTTTTGCCGCTCCATTTGCGCGGGATAAATTTTCGCTTGCGCATCTCCTGCTTTCAATTTGCATCTGAATGGAGCGAATAAATGCATGCAACACTTGTGCCGGGCATAAATAAAACGACCAACACACACTTTGCACAATGCTGTTGAGAGTATAGCTCAAGAAACAAGAATAAAAAAAGGGAAATCAAAGAAAATTTGTATACAAAATGCTGTTGCTGCGGGCTCTTGTGAACAGTTATTTTTAATTTTCTTAAAAGAGCAGATTAGAATCAAAATTTGTGAAGCATATTTTTAAAGGTTAATTGCATTGCATTAATATTAAATCTGCTGTCACTTTTGAATTTGATCTATATTTGTGAATCAAAATAAATATTTAAGTCTACTTTGGCTGATAATTAAAACTAAACGTAACCCCGATTTTAAATGAACCTTATTTTAAAGCTTTAGATTAAGTTAGAAAATCTATCTGAGAACTTATTTTAATGAAATAAAATTTTACGCTTGACTGGAAGAGTTTTTGGTTGGTGACTTTTAACTTGAAATTAAAATCGCTCAAAACTGTTAGTAAGTTTTGCGTGTTTAGTATTGGAAAAGAATAAAATTCTAACAGTATAATTGTGAACACAATTCTTTATCATGATTTACAAAACAGCATCTCTAACAACTCCGACCTTCAAAGTTTCCTTTAATCTTAATGCAAAGCTGGTGTTTGTTAATACTCTAGGGGAAGCTTATTGACCAAAGGCAGGCAAGAAGTGTTAAGACAGTCGAGCATCATCATCAAGTTATAGAGAGCGCATATAATTCTGGCACACAGAAGGTTGGTATAGTTCAGTCGGTGTGTTGTTTCAAAGTGAACGCAGGGCCGGTGAAAAGCGAGGGGAGGATGATGAGCCGCGATTATCGCAAGAACTGTGCAAACTTGGCCTCAGCCCTATCAGTCAGAGCTAGGCCGCAGCCAGACAATGAAATTCGCAATTACCGAGCCATGCAAAATGGAATGGCGTTCGCAACTGCTGTGTACACAACATACACAGTAAGCACATGCACAGTCGTTGCTGTTTAGTTGTGTGTTGCTGCAATTATTACACTTTAATGCCCAGCAGCAGTTAAAAGCTAATGTCTGTCCCTTCGGAACGCCGCCATGCTCGGCCTGCGCCCTGCACTCCTTTTATTGATGCGGACATGCTCTTTGGTCTTCCATGTATATATTCCGATATATTCAAAGTTCTTGATGCTCCATCTTGATTTTATTTTTAGTTTTTATCAAATATAAATTTTTTTTATAAAAAAAAAAGAGATTTTGATTGGTTTCAAAAGATCTCCTCACGGTAATTCAATATTCAATATCAAAATTTTTGCAAAATTTGAAGTTTTCTGTCAGCTCCCAGAGAAATACTTGCTCTTATTCTACCTTTATCGATATCTTAAACATGTGTTATTCGCTTATGGAGGAAAGTAACATTATTTTACCCTTAACAGTATCACGTTAATACGATGTTAATGTGAGTCTGAATGGTACTATAAGGACAGAATAATACGTCTTTAAGTCTAGCAGGTATAGGTCCGTAGCGTTGCTAGGTACCTCTTAAAAACGTCTTATTTTACCATTATTTGATACTTCTTATACTATTATGGGCCCTCACGGCCACTCATATTATTCTAGTATTCTAGCTTTTTTGCTGACGTCACTCATTTGGTGACGTCACATCAGGGAATAAATTTGCATAAATCAGAGTAATAAGTTTTCTACAATGATTTTGTTTATTGATAAATCAACCATCAAATCACAAATAATTATCACAAATTTTTGAGAAGAAATTGGCACTCAAGGAGACAATTATGGAAATGAAGAAAATGGGCTTTGTCCTCATTGAAAAAATTATTTCATTTATTTTTTATTGTTTTTGTATTTTTTTAGTGAGCTCCGTTTTTGCTCATGAAATAGGGTCGCAGACTGTGACCAAAACTGATAGAGACTTTTGTTTCTGATAAAATCAATTTTTACAAGGAGGACTAAGCCCGTTTTCTTCACTTGCTTTGCTTCCAATTATCACAAAAACAGAATAAGAATTAGCACACAAAGTTGCAAAGTTGTTAAGAAGAAGATATTCGCACTTATATCTCTAAATACATAAGACTCTCACCTTCAAGAATAAACAATGATATTTATTTAATTTACTTACTAGTGCAAAATTAAGAAAAATAAAGCGCAAAATAATAAGATTATGATGAACCTGTTACAATGTTTTAAATTAAATGTACTGCGTACAGAAAAGTGATAAACTTTGACTTTTATAACAATTTTTTTATAAAGTATATGATCATTGACTGTTGGAGTTGAATAATTATCTGCATGATATGGAATAGTTTATAAATTTGACAAATAACTGCTATTAGTTCAATAAATTAAAATTTAACTTAAAAAGAGAGTGAAAAAAACCTAATTACATTACATTACATATAGAATTGTTGAGTAGAGGAGAAGCATTGACGATAAGAAGTTATGAAGATTGTTTTTTTGCATTCAGTTGCCTTTGTTGTCTCTGGGTGGCTATTTGACATCTCATTTTTGTTTTGTCTGAAAAATTGAAACAAGTAATTAAAATTTATCCATAGTATAATTATATAAAATTTAAAATTTATATTGAATGTTAGAAATTTGCAAAAAATAATAATACATAATAATTTTCATGCAATGAAACGAGCCGTAAAATGAACTTACCATAAATATGTGCATGAAAATGTGAACTGTCCAATTCCATTTCCATAAGCAGCTTTTTTCATCATGGAGTAAGATCTGAAAGCAACATAAAATAAGTAAAAGTTTCAAAACTTCTTAAAAAAGATTAATATAATATATCATTTAATCGCTTTTAATTAGTAATCAAAAATTATATATTTCTTTATTTATGATTCAAACGCAAAATTACATGTATTGTATTATTTCTTGCAGTTATTATTTTGAATTGCATTCCACACTGCCTGCATAGCAATGTGGAATGCATGTCCCAAAGGGACAGACTAGTTCTAGGTACCCTAGCTAACGCAGAGCGCGCTCGGAGCGCGTCAGGTGGGAAAAATGATTGACAGGTTGGCGGTTGGTCGTTACTCGTTATGCTTTCGGTAATTTAAAACCAACCCAATGATGCTTTATAAGTTGTGTGCCTTAAGTCCCAAAGTTTTAAAAGTAGAAGGGAATTTTTAATTCCGAAAAGTTTAACCACAACCGCATATATATAACTGAAATAATAATAAAAAGAAAAATCTGGCGTCTATAAATCCCTTTTCATTTGCTTAGGAGTCAGTCAATAATTCAAATCAAAATTAAAATTTGCTGAGAATATTAAGAAATTTTATGTCAGCTTACCTTTCTACTCAGGAAATCCATTTTGCTGGTTTTGTTGCAAAAATATCGTTTGATTTGTCGCTTGTGTATATTTGGTGCGGGCATCTTAGTCGCTGCTTCTCCCTCGAATGAGGCGAGCAAACGCGCGGACCGTCAAGCAGCCAGCGGGGGTGGCTTTTCGGAATAAAGCACATACCTGAAGGTGGCTTGGCAACACGGCAGGGTCGCGTTCAACGTTCAACAAAAAACAAAATCTTTTCGTCCTCGACTCACAATCAGCTGCAGTCGCAGAGCAAACAAACTCGATCTCTCGGAAAAATATGTATCCGAATAAAAGTAATCATTCTTCAATAATCTTTTTTTTTTAATTTACTAAAAATGAAAATTTATAAGTTTTAAGTTTGAAATATGTGTGGCAGTTAAATTGAGTTCGGTGATTTCATTTTTTTAGCGCAATGAATTTCACAATTTTAAAAAATCTTTCATTGAAGGTTCTAATTACTATTAATTAATTTAATTTCATAAATACTGATTATATTTATCAAACTAATTATTCGACAATTATTGGAAGTCAAGCTCATAATATGGAAAATTAATTTTCTGCATCCAAAATAAGCTATTTTAGTGCATACAAAATACAAATTATAATTTTACAAATAAGGCCATTTTATCATAAAATTATTAAATAATCAGTAATATTCTTAAAAAAATCTCTAATATCTAGCATTTATCTGCGCGTAATAATATGTGCCTAAGAAATGTGTAGCCTTTCCTGATTTTTTAAACTTAAATTCCAAATAAGAAAAAACACGACGAAAATGCACAACTATAGCACGTGTTATTTAGAGAACGGCTGGCGGGAATATTTTTAACAAAACTTTATCCGCTTTTGAATACAGACCTCCAGAATGTTAAATAGTCATTATCTCAAAATATATACAAAATCCTAATTTTTGTTTTTTAAAATTACTTCTGATTTTTTTTAATGATTGAAAAATCGACATATAAAAGAGAATTTAATTTGGAAATTAATGATGTAATTCGCTTAAAAATGGCTCAAATAGGACAATGGCAAATAATTAAAAACTGAATTTAATTTTAACGGCACTCCCCATATGATCTCCAAACAGAGAGAAGAAATAGAATCTTCCTTCGCGAGGCCTCTCCTATTTTCGCTCAGCGCCCTGAAGCTATTTCTATTGTGTCCTTTGTCACTGTCATCTCTCGCTCCCTTCCTCCCCTATATATGTGGGTCAAACAAATAAAGTGCACTGCCAGCGAGCAGAATGAATGAGCGCAGCGTTGCAACCTACTCTCAGGTAGGAATTGCGTCCGACCTTTTGGATGCAGCACCGCCTTGAGGTGATTTCAGGCACTTGCTCGTATTATTCTGTTTTGAACAAAATAAACATTACCACCCCCGTTCCCTGATGCGCAGGCAAGACGGCAATGCACCCTTGTAATGCATGTTGCATATCTCTAAGTAATGGTTTAGATAAAAAAGTTTAGATATTTATGTCAAACTTTTGATTGTTAAAAGTTGAATTCCAATAATTAATATAAATTTGATTGTTTGATATTCATATTAATTTTAGAAAATCTGACCAATATGCTTTGAATTAAAACTTTATAAGGGTAGGCAAAATAACAAAATTAATGTAATAATTGTTAACACTTTTGATAATAAATAGCAGTGTGCACTGTGAAACGCGCTCTTAGCACTGCGGAAATTAGTCAAAATCTAGATCGCGAGCGTGGCAATACAAAATTCTTGAGCGCACTCATACATGAACAACTGTGTCTTTTTGGTCAATACAAATATTTTGATACTTAATGTACTACAATAACAAATCTGTTTAGAAAAAATACTACATAACACCCTTTTCTATACATTTTCTAAACACATCAGTCACACTAATAGAGAAATTGCACAAGCGCACTTGAACAATTTGATGTGCGTCATCATTCATCATATTGGCTTCTGCATTCATATGGTACTGATTTCAAGATTTTATAAAGGTAAAATAATATAAGTATAAATCATGCTGGAATATTTCTCTTGGAATGTGCCTAGAAGAATAGAATAAAGTTACTTAAATAGCTAAAAAAATAAGGCGTTCATATTGTGTTAGTAGAAGAGGGAAATAATATGAAAATAAATGTACTTTAATAGCCCAAAAAATAAGGTGTCTCTAACATATTTGTCAAAGAGGAGAATAAAACGCGATTAAGATGTTGACATCAGGGGCACTAGAGTAGGCAACCTGCATCACACGATATAATACTAAAATAAGGTGGCTTTAATGACACTTAGCTAGGGACGGGTGGAAAAATAATGTGTCAGAATACTACAATAATGTTACTTTAAGCAGAGATTCTCACTATAATATGAGTATAATGCGTCGATAATTTTAATATAATAGCAGTTCGTTTTCTGGGAGAGTTAAGGTTAAATCTTGATGCATTTTATGAATCACTTGTAATTTCTCTTATAAACAATGAATATTATTTAATAATCTTGCAGCAAACTCATTGATAGGGAAATTTTTTTAAGGACACACGTCAAAAAATAGTATGACGTGTGCATGCTGTTATCATTTTTGAACATCAAAGTTCTCATTTATCATTTCCAGAAATATGATTGAATAGACACACTGACAGGCAGCCGGTGTGCTCTAATTCCATACCCGGATGTGCAGCCAACAGCCATGATTTTCACTAACCTTGAAGTCACTAACCTTGCTTTTTTAAATTATCAAATTTTATTTTCAAAATAAATTCATTTGAGGGATTTTTTAAATTTACAATGTTGCGCTTTGTAAATTTTTTGATTTAGTTCTTGTGCTTACCGTATGTCATTGAAAAGTTTGCAGAGATGGTTTTGAAATCGACCAAACGTAGCTCTAGTTTTTATATTAAATTGCAAGTTGTCAAAAACACCAATTTGATCATTCAATGTTAGCAAAATAAAAATTGCATCAAACTAGTAGGAATAATTAGTGTGTGACAAAGTTTTCTCTTTTGAAGGTGTTGTTCATGGAAGTTCTTATTTATTTATTTATTCTCCATTCAGATACATGAAATACACAACATTGACAACATTGATTATATTATGGTTTATTTTAATATTTATAGTATAAATATAACTTTAGAAAAATATATATATATATATCCATTTCAAAACTTTTAAATCATTAATTAGTAGAGGAAGCTGAAACGCCAGAGCAGGGAACCTCACACATGCGAACGCGGACGGAACCAAAATACGTCAACTCTGTTCCATATCCTGCTAGACAAGTTTCAAACTACAAAATATCAGCTAGCCTTTTTAAATGTGTGATAGTAATATGGCTATTAAATCTACTTTAGTTCTACTTGTTCAATTAGCTCACAATATTAAAGTAAGTAATAAATTCATCAAGCAATTAAGTAGGTTAAAAAAATTGACTTGTGAATCATATCACAAATTGAATTTCTAGATTATGGTCAATACTGAGCAGGAGATTTGTGACGAGGCTTTTGAAAGTGAGACATAATTATTTTAATTAAAAAAATTGTAATGAAAATTAATTTTAAATATAGACTTAAATTTACAAAATTAAAAATTATAATATTTTTATTTTTAAAAGGTCAAGACTTTACATGGAGAGTAAATGGAAACGCATTCGAATGTCTTGCTAAATGCAATTTAATGTACCAACTGTCTTCCGGCGATTTCTCTGTTAGGAAACCAAAATACTTTGAGCGAGTTTTCACTCCAATACGTCCTACAGTTAATTGTTTGAAAGAGGTGATTTAAAATTTTAATTGTATTAATTTTTTTTTTTAAATATAATTCCTTTGTAAGACTCAAGACATTAACTCGATCTGCAAAGTTAAAAGTAGGCTGCTCAAATTCAAGAACATTTTAAGTGCTAACATGTTGTGTGTATATTGCAGCAAAAGGTTTAGAATTGAAACAATACATGGATTTGCCACTTGTATATTTCCCACTAAACGTAAAAGTAATAAAATTCTTTCAGTGGATGTTTTTGTTAATAAAAGAAACTAGCTAAAAAAATTTGAGGCGGAGAAATTTTGTCAGCGGCGGGGATTAAGGTTTGGAATTGAAGAGTCTATATCGGAAATTGTAACTTTTGGTGAGTAAAACACAATAGCAATATTTATAATTTAATATTGAGCTTTTTTGACAGGCATTACTGATATTAAAATATGGACTAGTGATATTGGTTTCAAATTTGACGTACTCAATAAATCAAAGGCTTTAGGAATCGATTGCAAAATTTTGCACAAGTAATTTAATATCTGTCAGTAATATGTTCTAAAAACTAGTTAAATGAAGGCAAGGAAGTTCAATAACAATTAAACCTGAAAATTGCGGAAACGTTAACAACTTTGTTTGCGTCGTACCTGATGGATGTCATGCAAACCGTTGTAGCTCAAAATGCCCAACAGTTCAGTGTGGAACAGAAATAAAGGTAAAATTTGCGGAATAGGAAAGAGCCCTTATTTGTTTTTAAATCATTCAATATAATTGCAGAGAATTGAAAAATGTGAATCAAATTGTCCAAGTCCAGAATGTGGCGAAGAAGTAAAGTTTTTGAAAAATTATGGAGAACAATATAAATCTATTCCTTTTGCAGGCAGCAACAAAATTTGAATACAGTAATGTTAACTTATATTCTCTGAAGTATCAAGGTTTAATGAAAATTTTAGAGCCAGGAGATGGAGATTTTATAGAAATGTGCGGGAGGCAATATCTGATTTCAAAACTCGCGACAGTAAATTTTTAAATGTGGAAGTATATTTTAATTAAAAAAAAAAATTACAGCATTCTTTGAAAAGCGCAAGTGTGTTTTGCTGCACAAAGCACATGAGCTTGGCCAGCGTGTCCACCGACCTTGATTCAAAGTGCTTGGCTCGCGAGTTAATAAGTAAATGCGAAACATGAGGAGGGATTCTTTTTTAATTCATTCATCTAGAGCGAAATTACACTGATAACTCATTCTGGACCGGCGGGAGACTTGGTTCGTGTCCTGACACATATTTTTGGTGTCCTCTTGATCCAGTAGACGGGACAACAGAAGTGGTTGACAAAGACGCTCTTCAATGGTTTCCCCCGAGCAGCAATCCAAACAAACCTGCCATTACAATTACAGTCGTTAATAAATCTGAGACGTTGCAGTTTGCTTTAGAAAATAAGGACATGTCAAGAAAGGCCCTTTGCGTGGTAAAAGTTAATTTATGTTTTATTAACTTATTTTTCCAAGCAAAAAAAAAAAAATTAATGTCATGTTATTGTTCTAATTTTTGTTCCAATTAGCGAGATATCCCATCAAAATGCCAAAATTCCTTTTGCCATCCTGTTGCAGCTTCTGAAGAGGTAAAAAATATTTTATTTAATAGTAATTAATATTTTATTATCTCTGATTAATATCAATTGTCAAACAAGGTTTCACAAGCTAAAAAGTTCAAAAGCACTGGTATGTGATGTTTTACCGTCAAAAAGGTCACTCACTAATTGTGTTTTGACAGGCTTTTATAGATTCAGCTGCGTTTACGGATATGCATGTAAAAAAATTTACGACATTAATCCAGGGCAAAAAGTAATACTGTATAATGTTTCCTAAATTGCAAACTAAATAATTCCATGCCCTTACTCCAGTACATTTATTATCAAACGGTTAAATGGAGCATGACTAATGTTGATTACAAAATGAGAATGATCACCATTGAGACTAAAGAAAAACTTGAATGTTTGCTGGATGCACTAAGGAGTGAGGAAAAACTTAAACTGCCGCAACGCTTATTTGGAAATTAAAATTTTAGCATCAGGCGTAAAGAGCAACACATTTTTCGTGGCCGCAAATTCATTCGGCTGTCCAAAGTCCATCAGGTGGTGCAACGGAGTAAATAATCCATTGATGGACGATTCGTTCATTCCGTGGGATGTCGGTGAGCCGTCCATGGACCTAAACAAGGATTGTGTCTACGCTAAATACAACGCTGGCAAAAATGAGTTAACGTTTGGGAAAACCTCCTGTATTAATTCGACATTAAGTTACATATCTGAAACTGATCCAATTTATGAAAGCAAAACATTGATGGCAAATAACTCTTTAAAGCCCTAGTTATGTTGAACTTCAACAATTCTCTGAAAACAGCAATGTAAAATGAAAAAATGAAATATAGTGAATGATTTATATATAAATTGACATTGCTAAAAAAAAATTTTACTAGCATCATGCTTATACATCTAGAAATAATTACTTTTGAATTTTGAGGTAGTTTAGTTTATCTGCAATTTTTTTAATTAGGAGCTATATTTATTGAACTTAATTCATTACTTTTAATTGTTTGAAAATAGGAATCTTAAATAAATTTATCTATAAATAGAAATAAGCTGATTGACTTTTATTTGTGATGATAACTAACAGCTGTTTTTAGACTCATATCATTGTGATTCATCAAAATTAAAATTAATAATAAGATCATATTTTATTTATGTGTCCATAAAAGGCCTATAAAGATCAACCCAAGGTAAAATAAAAAAAATTAATGTTTTTTTTTATTTTATTTTTTTAAATAATATAACAGGACCATATATTTTTTTTTAATTTTTGCCATAAATTTTTAATTTAAAATAATATTATATTGTTTTTAATTTTTTAATTGAAATTGTTGTTTATCTTAACACTTGATGACAATATTTTAGTACTCTATTTTCTAATCAAATAAAATTATGAAATTATTATAATTTATTTAAAAATATAAGTATTTAAAGTACAACATTTTCTCGAAGCAAACGTTGGGAATGCGGAAAACCTCAACCTCACCACCAATACAGCGCGTGTTTATCAGTTTTTTCAAGATTCGGAAACCAGGTATTGCAGACAATTTTTTTATTCCACGTGTTTGTCTATTATGAATGATGCGTCAGTGTTTGGCCTGCACTCGAGTAATATAAACAGGTAAAAATTTGAAGTTTTCAAATTTAAGTGAAACGGTAGAGGAAGTTAAAATGTAGTACGTGGAAGGGAACGTCACACACTATCAAATGCGTCAATACTATAATTTCCTGTCAGCGGAGTTTCAAACCTATACAGTGTAATGCATGCTTCATTTCTCATTTTCAAATATGATAGCAAAATGTTTAGTCAAATCTTTTGTTCTAGTCGTTCAATTGACTCTCAATATTCACGTAAGTAATATACATTCACCAAACTAAGTCTCTTTTACAATAACTATAGGCGTTTATCGAAATTTTTAATTTTAGACTATGGTAAATTCTGAGCAACAAATGTGTGACAACGTTTTTGAAAGTGAGACACTATTATTATTGTTAATTATAAAACTTTTAATTAATTTTGTTATCTGATTGAAAAAAATGTTTGCAATACAGTTCAAGATTTTATTTGGAGAGTAAATGAAAACTCATTCGAATGCATATCTAAATGCACTTTAATGAACCGACTGTTGGAAGGCGATACAACAATTAAGAAACCAAAATTCTTAGAGCGAGTTTTCACACCAATCCAACCACGAATTAATTGTATGAATGAGGTAAAATGCAAATTTGCTTCATTTTTTGTTGTCAAATTACCTTTGGATTATAAAAGAAACAAGATATAAACTCACTTTGCAGAGTTAAAAGTAAGTGCCATTAATTCAATAAAAATTGGAATGCCATCATGAATACATTTGTAGCAAGAGGCATAGAATTGAAACAATACATGGACTTGCCATTAGTATATTTCCCATTATCCGTGAAAGTATTGCAATGATCTATGATGAAATATTTAATAAAAAAAAAACGTAGTTAAAAAAATTTGAAGCGGAGAAATTTTGCCAGCGGCATGGGTTAAGATTTGGAATTGATAATAATATGGCACAAAATGTTGCTTCTGGTGAGCTTCAGTGGTTGATACGTAAAAGCAACTTATTATTATTTTTGACAGGCACGACTGATATTAAAATTTGGACCTCTGAAATTAACTACAAATTTGACGTTCTCAATAAATCAAAGGCTGTAGGGATCGATTGCAAAGTTTTGCATAAGTAGTTAACTGTGTTTCGGCAACAACAAAACAAGACAAATCTAAGCAAACATTTTCACAGGCAACAAAGTTCAGTGACAACTGAGATTGAAAATTGTGAAAATGATAATAACTTTGTTTGCGTCTTGCCTGACGGATGCCATGCAAACCGTTGCAGCTCAAGATGCCCTTCAGGACAGTGTGGATCAGATATAAAGGTAAAATTTGCCCAAACAGAAATAGCCCATATAGTTGATTTGAAATCATTCAATCACAGAGATTTGACTCATGTGAATCAAACTGTCCGAGCCCCGAATGTGGTGAAGAGGTAATTTTTTGATCAAATATGAATGAAATAATTCTATTCACTTCGCAGGCAGCAACAAAATTTGGATACAGTTAATACTTTTCAACATATTCTCAAATTTATCCAGCATTCTATACATTTTTAATTAAATTCCTATAGAGCCCGCAGATGGGGATTTGATAGAAATGTGTGGGAGACAATACCTCTTTTCAAAACAATCGACAGTAAATTAAAAAATTTCCTAGTAGGAATTATTTGCATTAAATTTTTATCGATTTAGCATTCGCAGAAAAGCGCAAGTGTGTTTTGCTGCACAAAGCACATGAGCTTGGCCAGCGTGTCCACCGACCTTGATTCAAAGTGCTTGGCTCGCGAGTTGATAAGTAATTTTGAATCATGGCATCATGGCAATGGAACTTAATATTTGAGAATTAATTTTTCCAGAGCGAAATTACTCCGACGTCTCAATCTGGACCGGCGGCAGACTAGGTTCGTGTCCTGACAAGTACTTTTGGTGTCCGGTTGATGGGACACCAGAAGTGGTGGATCAAGACGCTCTTCACTGGCTTCTCAGCAGAGACACAAACAAGCCAGCCATTACATTTAAAGCCGTTAATAAATCAGGGATATTGCAGTTGGCATTTGAAGATAAGGACGTCTTAAGAAAAGCCCTTTGCATGGTACATATCAAATTTTCAGTTTCATGTACGTAATTAACTCGATTTGTACAGAGCAAAATAAAATATTATGCATGAGATGGGAAACTTTTAAAAATCATTTAAATTTTTTTAACTCTATAAAATTGTTTTAAGTACATCTAATAGCTTTATAAATAAAAAAATATGCATGAAGAATCATGCATCAAGTACCCAAAATTATTGATTAATCAGTTTTAAATTTTTGTTCCAATTAGCGGGAAATCCCGTCAAAATGCAGGGAATCCTTTTGTCATCCCGTTGAAGCTTCTGATGAGGTACAAATTTAATTTTTTGATATTTAAGTGATTAATACAAGATCATTCAAAAGCGTGAGCAAGTTAAGAACTTCAAAAAAACTGGTATATGATTTACTTGCAATCATAGCCATTAAAGCACATATATCCAATGTTTTTCAGGCTTCTACCGATCAGGCTGCATTTATTTGTATGCTTGTAAAAAAGTTTATGACATAAATCAAGGCCAAAAAGTAATTAAAATTGTTTTTTTTTTAATAGAAGAAGCTATATAATTTATAAATTCTTTCATGCACTTGCACCTGTTCCCTATAGTACACATATTATCAACTGGTTAAGTGGTCAATGACAAATTTAGAATACAAAATGAGATTGATTACCATTGAGACTAAAGAGAAACTTCAGTGTTTACTTGAAGCACTAAAAAGTGAGGAAAAATCACGATTTCATCTTTCTTTGAAAATGAAAACATCCTAAAATATTCGAACATTTTTTTTAGCATCAGACATTAGGAGCAACGCATTTTATGTGGCCGCAAATTCATTTGGATGTCCAAAGTCTATCAGATGGTGCAACGGTGCAGATAACCCTATAATGGATGACTCATTCCTCTCTTGGGAAGCTGGCGAGCCATCCATGGACACAAATAAAGATTGCGTTTACGCAAAATACAATGCTGCTAAGAATGAGTTGAAGTTAGGAAAAGTCAACTGTAATAATGCTACCTTTTATTCTATAACTGAAACTGATCCAATATATGATACTAAAAATTTTTCAACCAATAGTTCTGCAAAGTCCTAGACATAATTATGTAAAAACGCAGTCTAACCTAGCCTAGGCTGAGTAGGCTCTCGATTTAGATTGCACGATCCAGTTAAACTTGAGCCAAGTCTCCAGATTAGGAACTTTAATCGCCGTACTTGAATTTTAAAAACGATATGACAACATGATAAAACATATATAAGTATTTAAGGATTTTTTAGTTATAAAACTTATACAATATTAATAAAAGATTTTATACCTGTATCATATTGATAATTATAACTAAAATCATATTGAATATCATATTAAAAATCTCTTGAAAAATCAACGTGTAATCATTAAAATTCATTGCTTTCTTCAAAACCAATTATGATTGAATAAATTGAATATAATCCCAGAATTACAATTGAAATAAAAAGCAAATTATGAAAAGTTGACTTTCATAATCAAATGGTACCAAATTGACTTGACTTGTGTTTGGAATGAGATGGTTAGATTTGGCTGATATTGTGCATGGTGGGTGGTTCATATTGGTTGTTGATGTAAGAAAAAATATGAGCAATAAAATATCTAAACTTTGCCTTTTTTCAAATATCATGACGTTTATAGAGGCACGGGTAGTGCAGTGGGGATATGAACTAATGTTGCACAATTCTTTCACATTAATGGAATATTTTATATGCTCACTTCGCATCCTGCTACTGGCCTCAAATCATGTGTATTCATCATCATTGCGATGGTATACAAATTAAATGTTAATGTATACAATATTCCAACTTTTCTATGTCACTCAAGTAAGTAACAGAAATTTTCCTATCAATTTCATTATATTTGCTATATACAAGGCTGATATTGAGCAACAAGTGTGCAGAGCAGCATTTAATTATGAAAGTGATGAACTTTGATTTTAAATTGCAGATTGATTACGTAACAAATTAAAACTATTTTAAGAGCAAGACTTTACATGGAGGATTGGTGTCAAATCATTTGATTGCATTTCTCGATGCGATTTACTGCGTCGACAATTTGGTGACGAATTTTCAAGGAAACCAAAATTCTTTATGCGTGTGTTTACGTCAACCCTCCCAGTAATTAATTGTTTGAAGGAAGTAAATTATAAACAATTTATAAATTCTGATAATTTGATTTTCACTGATCTTTTTATTTTAAAGCAAAGACTGATAACATCGATTTGCGAGTTGAAAAGTAAAAACCACACATGTCATTTTCTGACAGGATGTTCAGCCATGAATTTTCAGTGAGGGGCATAGAAATGAAGCAGTATGCGGATTTGCCGCTGGTTTATTTTCCCGTCGTTGTGAAAGTTTTGAATTATTCTTTTATCAAGCGATTTAAAACAAAAAAAATTTAAAACAGCTCAACAAGTTTAAAGCGGAGAAATTTTGTCAACAATATGGCTTGAAGTTTGGAATTGAAGAGTCTATGCCAGATTTGTTAACAACTGGTAAACTAATTTTTATAGAATAATTAATATGCGATAAAATATTTCTTTCAAGGAATGGAAGATGTAAAGATTTGGACTAGTGATATTGATTTCAAATTTGCCTCTCGAAATCAATCTAAGGCAGTTGGAATTATTTGCAAAATATTTCATAAGTAAATATTTTGAATATTATATATTAAAGTGTATTTATAGTTTGGAATTATATTTATATTGAATATAATGGACAAAAATTCTTAACATTCAATAGGCAGCGAGGCTCTGCGATTTTTAAAAATGAGGATTGCAAGAATGAGAATAATTTTGTTTGTGTCCTTCCTGATGGATGTCATGCAAACCATTGCAGTTCAAAATGCTCAAATGGGCAGTGCGGAAGTGACATCAAGGTAAAAAGTAATGTATGATTGCTGATTGCTGTTTTAAAATGATAAAATTGTAGAGTATTGAAAAATGCGAATCCAACTGCCCGAAACCCGAATGTGGTGAAGAGGTTAAAAGCTTTGTGGTTTCCGTATCATGAAAAATTAATTTTAGTCATGTTAATATTATAGTCGCAATCAAAGTTTGGATACAGTAAATTCTAATCAATCAAATGCAGAAAAGATTGAAAATTTAAAACTTTTAGAGGCTATAGATGGAGATTTACTAGAAATATGTGGAAGACAATACTTATTTTCAAAAGCATTTACTGTGAAATTAAAATAAATCATGTTTTTCTAAATTTTTTAATTCAATTAATACTTTTAAGTATTCACAAAAAGGCGCTAGTGTTTTTTGCTGCACAAAACATATGAGTTTGGCAAGTGTCTCTGGTGATCTTGAATCAAAGTGCTTAGCCCGAGAAATGATAAGTTATACATATAATTTTACTAGTGTCTTGATTTTATTTTAATTGCAAAATCTTATTCTCAGAGAGAAATTATACTGACAACTCATTCTGGACCGGCGGCAGACTGGGATCCTGCCCTAACACTTATTTCTGGTGTCCGTTGGACGGTACACCAGAAGTCGTAGACCAAGAGGCTCTGCAGTGGCAACCCAGTAGTGACCCAAACAAGCAGGCTATCACATTGAAGGCTGTTACTAAAGCTAACATGGTGCAACTTGAATTTGAAGATAAGGACGCCCGAAGAAGGGTTCTTTGTGTGGTAATGATTTGCGTTTGCACAGATTAGCAGAATAGTGGGAATAAAAAGTACTGATTTTAATTAATAATTAATTACATTAAATTGCATTTTTGTTCTGAAAGAATTGAAAAAAATTTTATGTTGAAATATTGAAAAGCGGAATGCGCGAAACTTATTTATAATGACATTTTTAATATAATAATACATAATTCACAGAGAGAAATACCTTCAAAATGCACCGAATCTATTTGTAATCCTGTTGGAGCGACACAGGAAGTAAGGAAACTCATTTTCATAATTGATATTTAATCTGTTAATTAATTTATATTTCATAAGATCAATGACAATAAAAAGTTTAGAGCTACTGGTAAGTCAAAATATATCATATTATATAAAATTGTATAAATCTATATTTGAATAGCCTTCTATAGAAGAGGCTGCATTTATGGATTTGCCTGCAAAAAGATATATGATTTTGCATTAACTGATAGCAAAGTAACTTATACATATTTACTGCTCAGAATTTGAAAAACATTAAAATTTAATAAAACTGAAATATGTGATCAGTTCAATTACTATCAAGCGGCAAAGTGGAGTATAGCTAATCTGGAGTATAAGTTACGCCTTGTTACTTTCGAGACAAAGGAAAAAGTGGAATGTTTATTGGAGGCATTAAAAGGTGTAATGGAAAATAATAAATAAATAATTCTAATATTTTTGTATATTTTTAAAAACAAGCATCTGGAATATCCAGCAGCACATTTTATGTGGCGGCTAATTCATTTGGATGTCCAAAGTCTATCAGATGGTGCAACTCAGCAGACAACCCAATCATGGACGATTCGTTCATCCAGTGGGAAGCTGGCGAGCCATCTATGGATCCGAACAAAGATTGCGTATACGCCAAGTATAATGCTGGCAAGAATGAATTAACATTTGGGAAAACCGCCTGTAATGCAACACTTTATTTCATTAACGAGTCAGATGCAATATACGAAAATAACATATTGTTGAGTAATTCTACAAAGACATAATACTTTTTAAATATAATATAAGAAAAACGTGTATAAAAATCTTGGCGGTCTCTTGTTCATATTATAAACTAGTGCAGATGCCAATTTTAATTAACCTCACATGTATTTTTTGCTCTATTTCCAAGAAAGCTAGACAATATTTTCCTAATTATCAGATTACAAGAAGTTTCTAATTGGTCTAAAATTTTCACCATAATTTACTACATCATATGATATGAAAATAATGTCTGTTGTTTGTATTTTAATTAAAATTATCATTTCCAATTTGCTTGAAGAATGAAAATTAACATTTAATTTTGATTAAAAATTATATGTAGTGTAATTTTCATCTGAAATTGTGTTTTATTTTTGCCAGCAACTTTGCAATATTACTCATTACTATCGGATACACACGGGATAACTCAACGAAAATTTTACACTGACAAAAACTGCTGTTAGATCTTCACCTCATAAAATCGGATCTTGATACTTTGACAGGGTTGGCAGGCAAATTCGCTCCGACCAGGAATGCGCCGAGAGAGGGTGCGGTTGCGAGAACGGGAGAGAGCAGCTGAGGGGCGGCGAGAGTAATTTAGCACCATCAAGCTCGACTCCTCTACTTATCTCACAAATTGCATCGCATAAATATGCAAAAAAAATTCACAAGAGGACGCAGATGTTTGTCGATGAAGCCAAAGAGGTTTTACCAGCCAAAGTTGGGTCGTTCTGAGCGTGTGTAACAAGCACGCAAGACGACACACATCACACCAATCTGGGGTGCCCAAGTAAAAAGGGCGCTCGCAGTCTTCCAGCTCTACGCAGGTACGGGCGGCATATAAAAAAAGACCTAACTAAATCATTGCGACTTATTGTTAGTAGATTAAATGAGTTTAAAATCAAATTAATTCAACAAGCTATGAAAATTTTGAACTTAATCAAATCAAATTGAAATTACGTTTTAAACTAAATAAATTATAGAGCTTTTTTACAAAATATAAATTACCCTTAGTCAATCCATTTAAAAATAATTCAAATTGGTTTTAACTTTGTTTCAAAAATCTCCTTTTTAGAATTCACTAGTATTTTTTTTCACTTATTGTTAGAGCAATTTTTAATATAATCTACAAATGGAAAAAGAATCAATTATTCAATATAATTTATTGTATATGCTTACAATAATTATTAACAAAAATTGTCAATTTAAACCCTGTCGTCTGAAAAAAGAGTGTGCTTAACTCAGTCTGAAAATTATTAATAATAAAAATAATACCCCTGGCCAGTCCGTACTTGAAGAGTGCTTGGTGCGCTCCCTCAAAAATTCTCCGCGCTCTGCTTACTTGCTAACATCATGGTAATAATAGCTTGGCCCACTGGGCCGCCTTAAAACAACACACTCAATAACATCCTGTCCTTTGAAAGCGATCGGCCCCGCTTTCCCTGGGAGCGAATAAAAATTCCTGTCCGTTTTAATTACTCGGCGGGCGGTGTTGGCGCGCGCCTCGTCGGGGGTACATAACATTGTGTGTCTGATGTGGTCGTGGTGAGGATGGATTTTCAGCGCCCGTGTGCTCGTTCGTTCGCTGGCTCTCACCGGCACACCCAATTTATTGCAATTTGTCGAGCGCGGCGAGATTGCCGGTCGTTTTTGCTGCAACGGCCCCTTTGAATTATGGTTTAATTAAAAAAAGAGAGGCCGTCCTCCGACGAAATGGGTGGTTTATGGCCTGCGTGAGGGAGCATCAGACGCGCTATGTAGTCTCGCTCGGAATTTTAGAAAGGGGTTGATTCCAGCATTTTATAATAGAATTTATCAGGGTGTCATTAACTTAAGCCTGAAACAATCTCCCTGCTCGGAAAAAAAATATTTATTAGAATATTCTTCAATTACAATTAAAATAATGTAACTTTTTAGCAATGCTTCAATGTACTTTAAGAAATTAGTTTTGTTTCAAGAAGTTTCATATTTTTATTGAAAATCTAAATCGCTGCATGCTCTGACCATATTTATATTAAATTTTGAAATAAAAATTATTAATGCGACGCAAGGATAGCTTTTCCGTGGATCAAAGATTTTGTTTGTGCTTAAAAATTTTTATAGTCTTCTTGATGGTGCGTTTTTGTTCAACAAATACTTTATTCAAAAAACCCTCTCTTCAAAAAATTCTTGTCTATTAAAAAACTGATTGATTGTAATAATAATCAATTTTTTTTTTAATTTTTACAATGATGTTAATTTTGAGTTTTAGTTTTGAGGTCACTTAGGAATAAAAAATCATAGTTTTCATGCGAACGGCCATATTGAATACCTAACAAACATGTGAATTTCCGATTGTTGGTTTGAATTCAGAGGTGGCAGTTGCAGTTTGAATTCATTTGCATTCTCACCATTGAGCTCTTTTTTTTTTTTTTTAATGAAGTATATTTATTTGAATGAAGTTACAAGTCCAGCCAACTCCAAACGGAGTTATCGGCCGGTGCTTATGTGACGGGAAAGCAAGACTTAAAAGCCAAGCCTTCAAACCTGCAATTTGAAAATGGGAAAAAAGACCTGCAAGCCTCGACCTACTCAGAAGAGAAAGCTCACTGGTTATAACGTTTATGTCCAGATGAGATTTGGCTGCATCAAGAAACCAGGGAAGACTTCCCGAGGCGTTTTCTCAGAGCTCGCCGAGCAGTGGAAGGCGGGAGAAGAGCAAGTTCAGGGAACTGGCGAGGAAAAAAACAAGAAGCGCCACTAAGGAGCTCCAGGATGAAGTGCCCGTTGGCTGCTCATCTCGTTTGATTAAATCGTTCTTTTAATTTATGTAATATTCCTTGCTTTTTTTTCTTTTTAAACAATTTTTTTAAGAATTCTTAGATCAGTTTAATTTTGTTGGAAAATTTGGCATCTAGAGAATTCTTCTTAGTACTGTATTTCTCCTATGAATTTGAAGAAATTCTAACTTTAGAAATAAATTTTTGTTCCTAAAATGTCTTTTTATAATTTTATAATCACATATTGGGTTCAAATTTGATTAAATTAATATTCATGGATGAAATTCACGTGATATTTCTTACTGATCTTTAATTTAAATATACAAATAATTCTTCAGGTTAGCATCAGTTTAATTTTTATAATGAATTGCTTTTTGAATCTAGAATTTTTCATGCAAATATTACACTTTATTTCTTAGAAGAATTCAGAAAATTTAAATTTTCTGGATTTCCACGATGATTTTTTACAACAATGTGCATACTAATTATACTATCTGTTGCTCGTCCGCGAATTTTGATTGTTGGTTTGATTGAAAAGAAAATAACTAAATTGTTTTTATGATATATTTCAAATTTTAATTATGGAATAAATTTTATGTAAAAAAGGGTAAAAAATTTTAAATACAAATTTTAGCATAGTTTTTTGTGTGTTTAAAAGCTTTAACATTTTTTACAACAAAAAGTGGGTCAAAGAGAGCACCTCAATTACCTATGCTCACCATCAAGGACTAGCTTCTCACTCCGACAGAGTTTGCACGGAGCGAAGGCGCGCACCTTCTCTGTGCTCTGTTCGCGTTATGAAAGTGCGCCGAGCGAAATGGAAGGTAGAATACGTGAGGCAGACCATGGACCAACGTGACCAGCTTGTAAATCGCGCCCTCTTAATCAAATCTCTGGCGTTCCCTTTGCTAAAAAATATGCAGATTTTCCCCATCCTATTGCATTTTATTGTCAACTGCCAACCTAAAAGAAGGTTGAAATTTCGGCTCAATTAATTTATTTTTGAATTCGTTAATGCATTATGCGTTTGATAGCGTTGCAAACCACTTTGCAATTTATTATAAGTTTCTCTTTGAAAGTTAAAAAAAATGTGTGTGGATTCTAAAACGGATTTACTTTGATGTGGAGGATGTGCAGTGTGTGTGTCAAAGTCAAACATATCTAACCAAAAGTGCATAAACATGCTCATCAACTTGTGTTTTGAACTCGGTTTTGAGAGATTGCATTTTGAGGTTACAGTGCATTTACGCGATAAATGAGTGATGAGCGTAAAACTGCGTGACAGAATAGAAGAAAGAAGAAAATGCATAGCACGTGTAAGCACTTTGCTAATAATTCAAAAGATTTATCTCCTTGGGGAGTTTCCATCGGACGAGACGCCAACCCTACAGATACGGGGTCTTTACATAAGAGGGAAAGTTTGTTTGCTTTCCTCTCATATAGCTCTTTCAGAATGGTTCTTTAATAGAATTTCGAATTTGTACAAAACTCCGAAGCAAAACAATAATTTAAATAAAAAAATTTAATATCATTTATGTACCACATTAAACCGCTGCTATTTTTCTTCAGTCATTTGATTAGAGATTTTTTCAGGAATAAAAACTATTTTCGCATTAACCATCTAATGCAATCTGCTATTATTTTTATATAACTCTGGCAGAAGAAATTTACTTATGGCAATTCCTGAAACTATTATCTACATCTAGGACTATTCTGTTGTTTATTTTATTTTACGTCAGTTTTAATATTTTTAATTGAAACTTTTCAATGGAATTCTTAACTTAAATCTGAAAATTTAGAAACAAAAAATTTTAATGGGCTCTTTTTAATTTATTGGACTTCATTTTTAAACCCTCGGAAACAATATTTTAATTTTTTGTTTTATGGTTAATGAAAATTTGTCTTTGTTTTTTTTCCATGGTTATTTAAATTTTTCGATTATTTTAAATTTACTGAACTGTAAACTGCGTTTGGTTTATTTAATGTGAAATTCTAACAAAGAAAATAAGGTGGCAGCGGGACGTGCACTCACATTTTTTCAGCACTAATGAGGGGCTATTGTTTGTTGTGCTTTATAGAAACACAAACCGCACATTGCAGCGCTTTCCATTCAAAACACCCTGCAGCTGCTTCCAGCTGCACTCACAATTTTCACGCATATACGAAGGAAAGCACTACGACATGAGAAAAACGGGCTTATTAACACATATAAAAATGGGGCGCAGCGTGAAAATAAAAAAGTGAGGAACAACAATCGTGCCGTTTTCTTCGAGTGCGGCCTGAATTTCACCAAGAGGAAAATTTTCTGGATGGAGCTTCAAGTTTTCTCGTCGCTCGTCATGCTCGCGCGTGTATAAATGCCCGACTCGTGCGCTGACTATTGATGAGCTCATGACAACCAAAGATGAACCGCCTCACCCTTGCACCCCCCAACAACCCTTTCATTCTGCTCCGCCGTCGCCACGTGAA